ATGGCAGTCCTATTTAAAACTCTATAAAGAAATGTCTTAAAAATAAAATAAAAAAGATTAACAAAATCTAGGATGGAAGAAAGCTCGATTATGTATTTGTTTATTTATTTTTATATAGACTGCTTGGAGAGAAGAGTTAGAGTGTTGGGACTGTCCCACCAAGAATGGCAAGCTTGGTCTTCTTAACACTGTGCTGGGGACCTCTGATGAGATCTTGTCAATAAATGTGGAATGAAGGGAGTTCTTACTGAGCTTGTATGATTCTTTCTTCTTTATTAAAAATGTTTTCAGTTGTTGAAACTTACAGCTAACGTTAGGTCTCTATTGCTATTGCCCACAATTAAAACTGTGTTGTAATTAGGATCATTTAAAAATAACTTCTACGTGCCTGACCTGTTCTCTCTGTGACAGGATTTGGTAACTGCTGATTACTTTGTGGTTGAGTTTGGGGGTGTGATTTGGTTATTCTGTGGGCAATATTAATGTGGGTGGAAATTATTAAGAGGTATTTATCTGTTCTAGGTAAATAGTATTGGATTTTTGTTATTGCATTAGAAAAGACCGTGTTACAAAGAATTTACAAGTTGGTCAGTCGTTTGTTTACTGACAGAATTGCTACAAAGAAGGAGGCTTTGGGCTTTTTGTTTTTAAAGGTATAGTTAATCTTCAAGGTGAAGAGTAGGTAATTTATTTATTTTCTAGCTAATTTTGCATAGAGGGGAAAGCAAACATTAAATAATTTTAAAATAACGTCGCTGTAGTGATTTGAGAGGTGTGTGTGTGAAACTCCTGTTAAGAGCTAATCTTGCCAATAGTGCTTGTCATCTGGATGTTGGCGTAACTGGTTCCTTGGTGGAGATTTGAGGTGTATAAAGATTTCTGAAGAGTCAGTGCTCAAAACAGGTTTTAAATCGCATAAAAGGTGATCTCCAAGCACATAGTAAGAGTGTTGAGTAGCCTTAAACTTTGTATTATGGTATAGTAATGAATACATGAGATAAAAAGTTTAATGCACAAAATCAAATGTTAACTATAAGTTGTAACTGAAGACACAGGACTGTTGGTTGGTTGTTTTTTTTATTCCTTTAGATTAGTCTGCCACAAACGTCTATTTAATTTACAGCACTATTGATTGCTTAACAGAATATTTTATTTATTTTATTTCTTTAGTAACCATTAGTTTTGCAGCGAGGCCTTCCTGCGTATTTTACTGCCTTTTAAATTACACAAGCAATGATTCATAAATAAATGTTTAACTCCACTAGAGTTAATGCAGTATTTGCACATGGATTGGAATGTATTGTTTGAAAATTTAATATACAGTAGATTATAATGTACTATTTGAAAAATTTAATACACTGCTCTACTGTGTTCTGGGTATCAGTCTGATATTGGATACTGCAAGACCTGTTGTAGTCACTACCTCAAGATCTCAGTAGACAGGAAGCGTTATTTGCATTTTCAATTAAATATTGGAGCATGATTCTGCAATTAAAATTTCTGTAAATCTAATGCGCCTGTCTGTGCCTTCTCCAAGGTCACCCTGGAGAAGAATGGGGCAAAAATACCCCACTACAACTTATTACCATGGTACTTGCTCAATGGAAACTGGACCTCAAACGCTTCTTTGAAAGCTTTTGCACAATGGTGCCAGTGTCTCAAGAAAACCCTTTCTCTGCAGTTGTTTTGGAGCTTAGATTAATGAAAGGGCAGACAAACGGGCATCATATCAAACCCAGTAATGACAGTAGGTCAACAGCAGAAGCTTGGACAAGAATATATGAGAAATGCAGCTGGAGAATCACTGTATGCTTGCTCGCCATTCTGTCTTTCAGTGATATCATGGTCTAGGAGCTCCTGAGTTAGAAATTGCATCTTCAAATATGGAGTTTGTCATGGATTTTCTTCCCTGAGCTTGCCCAGCTACATAAACTTTAAGCTTAATTATATCTTTTGTGAATAAATAACTTTTTTTAATACTTCAAAATTGTCCTTTTATGCTTTTTCTAAATGTCTCCTACTCTTGTAACAACCAGAAATTGTTCCATATTTACTTTTCCTGTGTCACCTGTGGTTTTGTGGAAGTCTGTCCTCTTCTGCTTTCATCTGTCTTTTTCTTGCCTCTGTTTAGGTGTTCCTCATGCAGAAGCTGTGCTGTATGTGTCCCATGTTGCCATTTTCTCTGTATCTAGATCTGCTGTGTTGGTAGACAAAATCAAACCAGAAGTGCACACAGAATTTACTTGATATAGGATGTGTGACAGAATTACTTTATGATGAATTTTTCACTTTTGTTTTGCTTGTCTCTCCTAATAGTCTGTATTGCTCCGTTTTATTTTCTTGTCGGCTCAGTGCCAAGAAGCCGTTACCGTCATAGACAGCTCTGTTGTAACCCAAAGCTCAGGTCTCAGAGTGCTGGTAGGCAGCTCTGGGTTTGTTGCTATATATCTAAACTTAAGATCGGTGGACTCTTTTGCCCCTCACCTCACTTTCAGAGAGAGATGTGAATCTCTGCCTTGTTCAGAAGGAAATAAAAAGAGTTGCTATGAAAGCAGGAGTCAGTGTTAGGAGGCGTTGCTACTTTGCTCTAAGAAAGGACTGGTTAGTTAAGAACATCTGGTCTTTGCATATTTCTTCTTCTCCATCTGTCTTATTTCTTAAGTTTTAAGGAAAAGTGGTATTTGGAAATAGAATAATTGCTTAAGAATAGACCAAATGAGGTAATGGACTAAAAGAAGAGCAGTATTAAACTTGGGATTTTGTACTTTAGATGTTTTCTGTAAGTAAGTGTTCACTGATTTACTTTTTTCCTTTCTAATTAGCCATGTATTCTTCAAACAAAACTTTAGCGGCCTCATGTCATTTGAGTATTTCACAGTCATCTGGAGCATGTGGTAAGATTCATAGTATTGTGGCAGAGAAACTATGAAACTTTATCTAAATTACACCAGAATTAATGTGCTTTGAGAATATGCTTTGAACTTGGCTGATGCTTTCTGGCTTGGTGCTGTATAGGTTTTGCACTTTGACGGGAGAAAGATTTGTAAAAGTTGTGCTTGTTTTGCCCCCTTTGCTGCTAGGTCGCTGTCTATACCAGTTCTTGCTCTCTTTCATCATTAGAGTACGTTCTGTCCTGCCTGATTGTTTCTACATAAAGCTCTCCTGAAAGCTCTGGAAAAGCAACCCACAAGTTTTAGCAGAAACCCCTGTGGGTCCCCCCTGTGATTTGGGTGTTCCTCTGCTCTAGTGGTCAGTTGGTGACCACACTAGTTCCTTTTCTTGTAAAGCATATTTCTGTGAACTTGGATCACTTGGGAAATAATGAGGGATACTACTCAAGTATAATATTGTAATTTTTTCTTTGTCCAATCTAATAACTTTTTCATATATCCTTGTTGAATAGCAAGCAGAATATGTGATTTGTTGTGTAGTTTCCCTGGTTTGTTTAAACTAAATCATGTCTACTCCCTTTCATCTTAACTGCCATCTCACACAAGGGAATATAAATACCTAACTTTTAACTTCGAATCACTTTGATTATATAAGTGTGCTAGATGATTATTTTTTAAGATAAAATTGCTGTGACATCCCTAAACCAAACTTAAATAAGGAGGAACCTGAATGGTTGGTTTAAATCTTCTAAGTATGCAACTACCTGTTCTTGTCCATCGTACCCAGTCGTGCTGTAAGTGGAGGACAGGTGAGGTGAGGGATGGTAACTGCTTTGCACACGTGAGGGGAGGAGGGGGGAAAGCTTGCCACTGGAAGAAATCTGTTATTACTGCTAATTAAAACAAAGCATGTCAAAGAAATTGCCATAAGTGGGTTAGAAACAGAAATATGTTACTGATATGAGAAGGACAGATCATACTGTAAGCTACTTTCAGGCTTTAGCAGATGTTAATAGTTAGCTATTTTTAAAATATTTCTTTGTAATATGAAGGTGCTACAAAAACTATTTCTGGAACCCAGTTGTGTAAAGTGTGTTGGTTGTCCGAGTCAAAGCTTAAAGTCTAGCTCAGCTCTTGGAAATGTGTTTTTAGCTGTATCAGCTTGGAGGTGCAATATCAGTAGATAATTTTTATTCTGTATATTTATATGTATTTATACTAGATGTGTGCATAAATTGTGATTAAGAAACACAGAAGGAATTAGTGAAGATCATACCAGTGAGCATGTGTTTTTGTTTCTTAGGGCAGAAATGTCCTTTTAGTAAGGTATAGCAAGGGTTTGTGTGCTCTAGAAACCACAACAGGAATTGTGGCTAGCCACAACTAGCATTTATCTTGGATTTTTTAGCAGTACGTTATGTAAAGCAAGCTAGGAGAAGTGGATACTTGGCAGCAAAAGAATGAAAATCATCATGTTTAATTACTTTGAAGTACCAGAATTTAACCTGCAAGACTTCTTTTTAGCAAGGTGAAGAGCATGAAGATCAATCTGTCCCTGACTGTAGTTGGTTTTATTCTTCAGTGCTGTCCCCTAGAAGCTAACTCACTGGGACTGGCTAGATTAGGCAGACATCAACAAAAGCTTTAATTTGTTTTCCAGTGTTTCCGAAGAAATCTATAGTCTGGGTTAAACTTCCATTTCAGCATTTTTGCAAGTAATGTCATCCACAGTATTTGCCATGAACATGAATGCTACTAGGAAACATTTCAGTCTTTAATTTCTAAAATGTTTGTCATGTTAATGCTCATGCACGGAAACCTGAAAGCAAAACTTCCCAGGGACTTGAATTTCACCGAGCAAACTGAACAAAATCAGTATACTGTGAGAGTATTGCTCGTTTCTCAAGTACCTGATAGCTTCCTTCTCCAAAACCTGGAATCTTGTGTTTGACTAGAGAAAGGGGACCTTGTTTTTGATACATGCAGGTAAGGTAATCTCTTGGTACATTATGTAACTTCTTTTAATTGGAAGATGGGGATTTTGCCATGGATATAATGAGACACTTTGTATCTAATGTGCAGTTTTTTTTCTATTGTTGTTTTGTTTAGTGGGAGACTTTGATAAGATCTGGCGTGAGCACTGTGAGGATGAGGAAACTCTGTGTGAATATGCTGTGGCAATGAAAAACCTTGCAGATAATCACTGGGCAAAAACCTGTGAAGGGGAAGGCCGAATTGAATGGTGTTGCAGGTAAATTTTAATGTATTTGAAAGATTCAATTGCACGCTTCCACTTGCAGTTATTTATAATACAAGGCTTAAGTACTTTTTGCTAATTTTTAAGATTTGTTGTGTAACATGCTGATGATTTATTGCTTCCTAAAACAAATGCATTCTTACCGTTCCAAGGTAATAAGGAAATACAGCTTATGAAGTGTTTTGTTATAAGGTGACCCTTTTTTGAAAGGATCTTCAACAAACAAGGTTGTTAATGTTTTTTCCCTCAAATACTGGAGCTGTTTGCAAGTAAATTTATGAAGTAATTTTGTATACGTTTGAACTTAAACTAAGCAAATGCAGTGAGTGTAGCTCAAATTTAATTTTCAGAGCTTTGGTTTGATTTGTGCATATTATAGTGTTTGACCTCTAAATGCAAATCTCTGCTGCATAATTTTCAAGTCTTAATCTTAACTTTAACCTCTGTGAAACTTATTTTAAATGGATTTTTAACTTTAAAATTCCTATATGTCATAAACATCTGATTTTTATTGGGTTGTTGTAATAGTAAAGTCATTAAGTGAGTTCAGCTGAACTATTTCAATCCTTGAGGAAAATAAACTCCTAAAAGAGAAAATGTTGGTCGCTCAGAGTTTCTGCATACGGTTGGCATACAAGGTTTACCATGGAAACTATACAGCAGAATAAAATAAAATACTGTTGAAGTCTAACTAGGAAGATAATTTATTAACGGTCCTGCCTTTGGGAATGACTTTAGACAGGCAAAAAGTAATGTTGTGTGCCCGTCTGTAGGTCCTGCAGGTGAGTGTTGCAGTTTGATGAGCAAAAGGCAGCACAGAAAAACAGGCATGGTATCTCTAAATTTAAATTCATTACATGGGTCCTTTGAGCCCATAAAACAAAAAAAAAAGGAGGAGGGAACAACTGCAAAACAGTTGACCTAAAGTACATCTTAGTGGCAATTCGAGCTGTTCTGTGGCTTCTGGAAATGGAGCAAGTAAAACAAGCTGGTCTCCTTTTTCCCCTACAACAGACTCTTAAATACTTGAAAACAATTCCTTCGTGTATCAATCTCTTACCCTTTAGCTTAAAAATATCCCCCCAAAATAGTTAAGTATTTCTCTATAGACCCTTTCCCAGACATCTTTCTTGTATCCTTATCCCAGTTAGAAGAGAGGTGAATCAATTGGAAAGAACTCTGTCCAAAAATAGACACAGTGTTCCCCTGGCCTTGTCAGGGATATGTAAACTCTTGTTTACGCTGCTGACCTTGTTTGGTGGATTTTCTGTGGGGATTTTTTTTTGTATTGGTGTGGCATTGATTTGTGCTCACTTGTGACCCCAAACTGCCCGTTTCCTTTTTACGGGCTTCCTCAGTTGCTAGTTGTTTTCTTGTATTTGTGCTATTCATTACTTCTGTGGAAATGCTGATATTTGTATTTCTCTTTACTAAATTACACTGGTTTGAATCATATTGAATTCTAATACTGCAATTTCTTGCAGCATCTAGTGCCTGCCCCCTGCTTGGCATCATTCACAGATCAGTTAAGAGGCATTACTGACTGTTCCAACACTCAGTTTATATGTGAAAATGCTAATGGTACTGGACCCAGGACAGATTCTCATGGAACATTGCTCAGTATTTTCTTACAATTTGATTGTCAACTAATTTGTGAAACTTTTTTCAGTAGAGCTGTGTGCATGTACTTTGAAGTAATTTCAGGTAAATGGTATTCCTTTAGCTTGTGGCAAACTTCTTCGCTGCCCTGTAGGACAGGATAATGTTCCTTGTAGACAGGGGAGGAACAGTTGATGGCCTCTGTATTGAAGTTTTTTGGCTCCGTGTCTCACTTGTTTTCTGTTTGCAGTTCCTACAAGGTTTATAAAGTCAACATTTAAATATGTGTTTGGGCCTTGCAGCATGAACTCATGTTGAAAAGAGAATCCACCCAGTAAAAGACAGTAAAATGTTCTCTCTCAGCATAAAGTTTCAATTAAAGCACGTACATTTTCAGTTTGCATGGTCAAGGGGTCAGGAGCTTTACATCAGTAGAAAGAGGGGTACTTTTCACTTTTGTGTGCCTCAGATTAAACTGAGGCCTGGATGGCCAGATACCTGAACAGATCAGATTGACTTTGTGTTCTGCAATTTTTTGTTCCTTCTCAAAAGGCCAAGAGGTGTGCCAGACAGATGGCAGTTCCCATTGTTGTTACTCCTCCTTGTGTCTGGTTGCATAATTCCATGCAAAAGAACTTGACTTGTATGAAACTTCAGTGAAAGCTTTTGCTCTATGCTTTTCTGTGTCACCATGATAGCAGGAAGGTAGCTGATGTATTAGATGTTTAATTTGGGAGCAAAATGCTGAAAATAGTCGGGAACCACTGGTGTATCCCTCCTGAAGAAAGGATAGTTTAAGCTTTATTTGGTTTTCTTTGAAGGAAGATCTTTTCAGAGATCTGAAACTGAGAAGTGTTTTTTCCACTAGTTAAAAAAAAGAAAAAAAAGAAAAAAAACCAACCAACTTTTTTTTCTTTCCTTCATTTTCCTTGTATTCTCTTATAAATAAGCAGTGGATAAAATAAATCAGAGAATGCAGAATAACCACTAGGGAAGCCATGTGTACTTCTTAAGATCAAGAATAACAATTTTCTTGCTGCATTTTCCTTTCAAAAGTCTTTCTAGCTGTTTAATTGAAGACGCTGGAAAAATCTTTATTCTGACATTGATTCTTAAACTAGATGACATAAAACTTATTATTTTACTTCTTCATTAGTTGTTGACTTAAACAAGCACGTATCCAGACTTTAGAAACTGTAAAAGCAGTCAGTACATGATGGACTGTGCTGATGACTATATGCTGTGTTGTATGGGGCCAGTTTTATTTATTGATTCAGGGCAACGTTATACAACTGGGAGATGGGAGATGGGCAAGGGGAAAAGGGATTAAAACTTCATCTGCTTCCATATGCAGGTTAATGATCCCCTGAGCAGTGTTGTAAAATGCCTGGGCAACTGTCCTTCCCTTGCTTGCTTTCTTTATTTACACCTCTAGAAAACTGAATACAGAGTAAGAAGTGGTATTTGGAAATTAACACTTCTGTTTCTCTTTAATTTCATTTATATTGCAACACAAAATTTAAACCAAAATAGGGTAAGATGATGTTTACCCTGAATAATTGTCCTAACTCTTAATTTTTGCTGGCACAGGGAGGCTGGTGAGCCTTTGTATGGACAATGGATGCCAGCCTGTTCTGGTGCTAGTTAGAACAAAATAAGCTAGACCAGCAGGTTTGCTTCTTTCTGTCAGTGTTAAGACTTGTGTTGACTTGGCTGGTTTTTTAAATAACAAAAACCAAAATCTGTACTTCTAACTAAAATGACAAAGCGCTACCTAGACCTGCATTTTTTTTTTTTTTAAAAGTCTTTTGGCTGTTTCATGAGCCATCTGAAGAAATACAGTCTTGATGAAGTTAATGTCAGGTGAGTATAGAACTGTTTGGAAAAACTTGCAGAGAATAGATGTTAGAACCTTATCTTAAAAATGTGATTTACTGGGAAGGATTCTTTCAGTGTCCATCCCTGTATCCTTTACTAATCAATATTTTCATTAGCAATCTGCTAGAATAAATTCTGTTTATTAAATTTGCAAATGAGACAAAACAGAAAAGAATTATCACTCCGAGAGCAGGATTAAAATTAATGGTGTTGTTAACTATACCAGATATTATCAACTATAGAAATACAGGCCAGGAAGTAACTGGTTGTGTCAGTCTTTTAGAAAAGCATTTGGATTCTGTAGCAGGCCACAGGCTGCATATGAAACAGTCAATGCGATACTTTCAAGCAGTAAAGGCGAATGTCATACTGGAGAGTGTTAATGAGATTATCCACAAGATATGGAAAATATGCCTCTGACCTTATTTAGCTTTGCTTTTAGCCAAAATACTACCTTGGCCACTGTATTTAACTCCAAGAAAGATAAAGAAGTTATAAAAAAAAAAATTCTAATTTTTTCCACAAAAGCCTTGTTTGTTTGTTTTGGTTTAGGTTTTTTTTTCCTAGAAGTTAGTTGAAAGACGAGAAGGCTCAGTGATCTCTTACAAGATCTTTGATAATAGCAGATCTCTTCTAGAACTGTAAAGCTGATCTTGTTTGGGTTTGAAAGATTGAATGAATGTTTAAAGTCCCTTGCAGCTTTTTTGATGAATGCAGTTAGTTGAGCAATTCACTTTCAGGAGAATGGAGTAGAGAAGGTGGTGGCTTAAACAGGAGGAGGGAAACCATTTAACATAGAAAAGAGATTTAATGTTCATTGTTCCTGTTTGTATGACAGTCTTCATTTTTACTCTTAAATAATACTGTGTTCTAACAAAACCATATCTGTATGTTTGAGTGCTAGCGCTAATTAGAGCAGTGATCATGATAATTGCTGCCTATTTTCAAGTTCTTGGAATCCTCCAGTAATAAAGCTATTGCCTCCAGAAGCTGATGTGGGATGGAGGGGTGGATACAACACCAGAGAAATATCTGAGTGCAGACCTAATTGTGTTTCTCAAAAGGAAAATATCTCAAAACCCTAAAACTGAGATCAAGTATGAAAAACAAAATGGAAAAATGTATTGTATACAAGTTTCTCAACTTGAAGTTTAATAAAATATAATTATGATAATAAAAATTATAATACTTTACCTAGAGAAACCTAATGCTGTCACCTATGCTGAATACAGTGTTTCCTTAAACTAAAGCTGGGTGCACGTGACAAGAGCAACGTATTTTCCAGTCCAGAGGAAACTTTTCTGCTCTTCTAGGTATGATTAATGAGTACAAGGGAACTTGAGAATTATCCCTTCCTTGATTTTCTTTGGGTGTTGCAGGGTGAGTGGGTTAAACCTGTAGAAGAGTTCACAGCTTTTTTTCTTTCTTTCTTTCTTTCTTTCTTTCAGGCTGGGAACTCTGTCAGTTGACATAAATAAACTTATTCCTTAATGTGTGGGAGGAGGGTAGAAACATTTTGCAGATAGAAACCATGATGAGAAGTCCAAACTTTCCTTCAGCTCTGAAGGGAAGTATGTTATTTCTCTGTACTCTCCCTGAACTAAATCTTCCATATTATGTTTTAGTTAGTAAATATTGTAAGGAACATAAGTCAAGCTCACCTTTTCTTCATTATAAAGCAGAAGGAAACAGATGGACTGTGTCAGTTCTTAGCCTGTAAAATTGGCTGCTTGAAACCCTTGAGCATTGATAACAACTCTCAGAAACTGCTTTTTGCCGTGATAAAAGCTGAATACACCAGCTTTAATTTAGGTGTTCATAATTACTTGATGAGAACAACTCCATACTGATTCTTTCATGGCTTTTAAATTTCATATGGTGTTTCTTTGGCAATTCCCCCTCCTTTTTTTTTACAATTATATATTCTATTGAAACTCTTGGTTTTGGTCACTTTATTCAAAAAAGAAACATCTCTTTGATTGCTAGAGAGTATTAACAAATGCATATGTATTCATATTGACTTTTACTGAAACTTCCTATACATGTCTAGCCCAAATGTTGGAACAGGGGGGTCAGCTTCAACAGCTGATTTACCATTTGAGATTTGAAGTATGGAAAACTTAGGGAAACATTGCAACCATTTTTAAACAGGGTAGAAAGGAGGACCCTGGGAACTACTGACCTCAGCTTCACTTCTGTGCCTGGGAAGATTGTGGAACAGATCCTCCTAGAAGCTATGCTAAGGCACATGGAGGACAGGGAGGTGATTCAAGACAGCCAGCATGGTTTCACCAAAGGCAAATCCTGACTGCCAACCTAGTGGCTTTCTATGATGGAGTGACTATATCAGTGGACAAGGGAAGAGCTACACATGTCGTCTATCTGGACTTCTATAAGGCCTTTGACATGGTCCCCCACAACATCCTTCTCTTTAAATGGGACAGAGATGGATTTGATGGGTGGACTATTCAGTGGATAAGGAATTGGCTGGATGGTCACATCCAGAGTGTAGTGGTCAACATCTCAGTGTCCAGATGGAGATCAGTGACGAGTGGTGTCCCTCAGGGGTCAGTATTGGGACCAGTACTGTTTAATATCTTCATCAATGGCGTAGAGGGATTGAGTGCATCCTCAGCAGGTTTGCTGGCGACACCAAGCTGAGTGGTGTGGTTGACATGCCTGAGGGATGGGATGCCATTTAGAGGGACCTGGACAAGCTCAAGAAGTGGGCCCTTGTGAACCTCATGAGGTTCAACAAGGCCAAGTGCAAGGAGAAGTCCTAATTCCCTCGTGATGATTCTTGTGAGCCTCTGGGGTTCCTACCTCATCAAAACACCGTGTATTTCTGCTGCTGCCTGGATTCCTATCTCTGACTTCCTCTGAGACAGCAGACCAAAGGACCTCGCTATCGCAGCATCCTTCAAGCACCAGTGTGCTACCCCCAGGCTCAGCTCCGTTGAGCCTGGCTTCATTCCCTTCCCCCTTCAAAACTAGTTTAAAGCCCTATCAATGAGCCCAGCTAACTCCTGAGCCAGGGTCCTGTTCCCCCTACTGTAAGTGTGCGTTTACAGACTCAAGGTGGTCATTTCCTACCATACTGGATTAAAGCAACTCCTATCTGTACCTGTTTGTGTGTTTCCCTTTAGGAAACTCAATTCCAATGACTTTTTTTTTTTTTTTTTTCCTTCACATCTTATATGGTGGAGAGGCTGGATACATTTGTTTCCTATTATATCACCAACCCTTAGATAAGGCCTGTGTAATCCAATTCCTTGTCTCTATCTGTGATTTAAATGCAGCATTATACCAACATGTCCTTTCTTGAATCTGTGATATGAAATGCTATGTTATCTTGATCCTGCTTTGTGTAAGATGTTATTAAACTACACTTGAATTTATGTTTTCTAGAATGTTTCCTTCAAACCTCTGCAGCTTTGTTAGAGGAAAATTGAGTGAATTTTAAGAAAACATCATAAAAATAAGTTGTTATGAAAACATAATTCAAACAAGTACTATTTCTGTTAAACTTTCTGTGCAAATACTTGGCTGGCACATCTCATTAAAAATACTGCTTTGTGCAGGGTGAGTTAGGCTTTTTAATTTCACAGCAACAAATTGTTTCCAATTCTAGTTCTATTTGTGTACAAAATTCAGTTATTCTCAAACATAATGCCTGCTTCTCATACACTAATACTGACTACTGGTTGGAGTACGCAGGTGCGATTTAACTTGTTTCCTTTAAACTGGTGAACATTTCTGTTCCAGTATGACCAGATTACTTTGTTCTGGTTCCTATTAGCAAAATACTAAGGCTAAAATAAGTCTTCCATAATAATACAGCTACTACAGATATCTGTTACTTAAAAACAAAAAAACACCCCAGGCAAACGCAATTAAAATTATAAACTGGTATATGTAAGTTAGCCCATAAACCTGGATTATGTTTCTTTTCCCCCACGTTATGTGCCTTGCAGGTCACAAAGGTTTCAAAAGCCCCTGCGTTTATGGGGAGCTAGTTAATAACTCTTTGCACCTTAGTGGAGAACTGTGGTGCTCAGGTGACAGCTGAAGTTTTACCCTCTGTTGATTTTCTGACAAGACGTCTTCTGTCTTGCTCTAAAAGTCTATCCAGATAAAACTGTTTTGAATCTGTTTAATCAACTGTGACTTACAGCCTAATTTTTTGAAATAAGACACCACTCAACTTCAAGTGTGTCTTTGGGTATATTGCATCTTTCCTAAAGCTTATTTACCAACGTTGCAGTAATACCCAGATTTGTTTAAAAGCTGACAGCACTTGTATCTTTAAACATCTGTCTTGTGTCTTATCTATAGTAATGACCAAAAATAGCATTCTGTTTTTCTGGGAAGTTTTTCTTTTTGTCTTTTCAGTGTATGCCGAGAATATTTTCAGAACGGTGGGAAGAGAAAAGCACTTGAGAAGGATGAAAAAAGAGCACTTCTTGATTCCAAGACCACTCCAACTTTAAATGTTCCCCAGGCTCCTAAGATTGAAGATCCCTTGCCAAACTTTGGCTTGACAAATCATGAAGCTATAACAGAAGAGTAAGTTTTACTTGTTTTCCAGACTTTTTTTTTTCCTCTCTTTGTGCAGTACAACTTTCCTGAACATTTTTTCCCTGTAACATATTAGATCAATCTGATGTATTTATAATAATTTAGAGCATTTTCGTGTGAATATGTTTCAAGAAATACTTATGTTGTAGTATATTTTGGTGGTGGCCATAAAAAATTTTCTTGAGAATGGCAACTTAGTCATCTTCATTTACGTGTTAGAGCAGTTTCACTTTTGTATGTCATTGGTGTGCAATGCAATTTATATTAAACCTTGAGGTGAAATAAGGGAGACATTAATTAAGTTAGAATCTACTGGCTGTTCAGCATTGTTGAAAAGTCAATTGCTTATGTAAGTACTAAGTGCCAAATGTAAATAACAGAGTACTTAAAACTTTCTCTTCATAAATAATTACAGAAAAACTCTTGATTCCAATTATACACTTCAAAAGCAATTTTGAATTATAACCCTTAATTTTAAATGTGCTAGCTTTCTGATGACTGGCTTTGCAGAAGTTGTAGTATCCTTGCGGTGTCTTCCCAACAACAATTTTTGACCTTCAGTCAAGTAAGAATTTTATTTTTGGCATTCAGGAGTAGCTTTATGATTTCAGTTACAGTCCCACCCTCCTTTTTTCCTAAATAACATGGGTCATGTTTGTGGCTATTCCACGTGTGACAGAAAGAATTTAATATTTGCAAGTATAATGGAATAATGAATGCATAAGCATATTATCATTAAATGTTACACTTATTACTTTCTTCATATTCTTTACAAAGCAATTCTTACAGCTGCCTGCAATAATGTTTTTTTCTGTTCTGTGAAGAGATTTTTCTCATTATCATAGCATATCTTCTGTGATCAGCACTTTAAGTTAGATATTGTATTAGTTAGGAAAGGAACGAGCATGCTGCTAACGTTATTAGCAGATGTGTCTGTCCTTATGAGCTGTTATCTTTTGTGGTTTATTATGTTTTTAAAGTAATTTGCAAAAGCCATAAAGATCCTAAATGCCTGTGTAGTTGAATAGTTACATGCAAAATGAAAACATTTTCACTGTTGTTGTCCTATTATGACAAGACAAAACAGACAAGGCAAATTAAGATAGTGGCTTCTCATAAGCTGGCTTCCCCCATAGAATCCTCTTTGTAGTGCTTGTTTTGCTAAGTCAGCCTCAAAATGAATACCTGTTTTTAATGAGAACTGCCAGGCACTTTCGCACAAAGGGCTGATGAGATACTAATACCTTATAACATCTCAATAATGCTGGCATTTGTTAACACATAATTTTAGCATTACTGTAAACAGCAGTTTGTTGGTACTTGTTTTTTTAAATCAATAGGTTTGATGATCATACACTACTTAAAGTTGATTTGTCTCCCCGTGACAAGGGAGGCCTTGTCATGATAAAGCATTAGCTCTCTTTCTGCATGTGCTCTGTCTTCATACTTTGTACAGTTTATAATGTGGAGCCAACTTCACATGAGTTTCTTTTTGCTACCAGTAGTCTGTAGCCTTACCTTTTGTTCTGACTAGCATGTATAGAAAGCAGTTAATAAAGAAGCTTTTATTAAATAATTTTTAAAGTATTTGTTAATATAGGGAGTGATGATTATTTTTATCTTCATTCTCAAAATTTAAAAAAATATGTACATCCATAAAGACATACCTGGCAAAGGCAAGATTTATAATATTTACCTGAGTAAGCAACAAATTATAGTAAGGTTTTTAGTAGCTGCACAGACTTTAAAGCAAGGCATAGCTGTTCTAAGTTACTGCTCAGAAAAATCAAAATTCAGTTTCTTCCTCTATGCCTTATAGAAGAAGTTAAGAGTTTATCAGAATGAAAATGGATTGTGTATTGCACAAAGCATACTTTCCTTCTGAAATGCTTTTCTTCCATGTCTACACTGATCAGTTTGTGAAGTCTGAATCTTGGTGAGGTCTTGGTACAAAGAGTATGGGGGAACCTAACCCCCACACACATGCACTTGTTCAAATACTGTCACTCCATTCTGGCCATGTAACACTACAAATAAGAGTTGTGGGCTTGCCTATAGGAATGGTTAAGCCTGAGTCTTTTTGTTTTACACTGGTAAGTGTAAAGACAATAATTTTGTTCTTCCCATACGTAACACTCTCTCAAGGAGTATTAAAACCAGGTTGCTTATGTAGGAGCTCTTTCTGAGTTTGCCTTTACTGGCAAGCTATTGTAGAGATTGTACTTTGCTTGGTAAGGAGTAGAGCTAGCTCAGGAATAAAAAGTTCCACAGGTAGTAAAAAAAGATGCTGGGAGATGTGGAGAGAAATACGAAGTGCTCAGCCAGCTCTTAAAGGTGACGGTAGAAAACATCACAGAAACCAGAAGTGCAAAGTTTACTGCAACTCAGAAAGTCACTCAGCTACTTTAATGAACCCATTTCGACCTTCTCACGTTGCTCACCTCTTTGCCAGATTAAAATTGGTAAGACTCACAGAAATAACTAATGTGAACAGTCCTTTTTTCACTTTCATCTGTATGAAAAGTAATGTATTGTCCACAGTACTTCCTTCCCTCCCAGAACAAGTTCTTATGTCTCTAACGTTACAACTGCACCTGTTGTGAAGCTGGATGTGGGAGTGGCCCAGTCTTGCAAAATAAAAGCAGCTGTTATCTGCTATTTAACAGCTCTTTCCTTTAATAAATCAATCCCTCTGTTCTCTTTTTGAGTTGTTTATCTTCTTTTTCTGTCAAATTAAGCAGTATTGCTTTTTATCCTTAATGGTAAAAATGACAACCTTTTTGGTATGAATTCTTCTCAGGCATTGGTTTGACTGTCTCTTAAAGTTCAACCTATCATTCCTTCTTTCATATATAGCTCAGCCAGCTAGACCTCTCGCCACGCGGAACCAGATATAAAGCTTTGTTCTGCTCTTCTGACAGCAGCATAAGACTTCTGAATTTTTTTCCCCTCCCATCCTTGATAAACAATAGAGTAATTGAAAACTGTACACTAGGAGATCAGCACTTGAAGTGGTTAATTTCAGAGACTTTCCTTATGGTCATATAACTGTGCTTTACTTCTATTTACTTCCAAGAAAAAACATCACCCGTGTAACACCTAGTTGAATAATAGGTGCGATTTTTAAAGGGGGCTAATAATCAAGAGCTGCAGTCCATGTAATAAAGTTTTTGAACTAAACAAATGTGGGATATATTTTAAATGCACTCATTTGCCAGGTTAGGTACACTTCTTTACCAGTTCCTGATCTTTAACTATTCACATTTTGTTTTTCTACCTGTACACTAATGCATCGGGGAACTGTGGATTCAAGATGTGCTTGGGGATTACCCACAGTGGCAGAATATTTCCCTTGCTTTTAATGTTGCCTTGACTGAAAATCATTAGGAAACAGGTAGTTAAAGGGTGATTATCAATGAATTCAGGAATACTACATTTCTAACAGTCATTGGCTCATTGGATCAGTGATTGTCACCTAGATTACAGTTATTCTCACTGAGGAATCTTACTCAAGAGTTGCAGTGCTGCAAAAGTAGGTATATGAACCAGTGGTTTTCAAACCATCTGAATCAGTGGTCTGTGCTCTCTGTATATGTTCAGTGACCAAATCTAAGCACTTCTGAAGAGCTTCAAAATTATTTCAAGCACCTAACTAGGATCCTGTTCCTACTGATAACTGGCAGCCTGAGAATTGCCACTACATGATTCATTGCACCTGTGTTCTGAGAGGCACGAAAACCTGACAAGTGACTTGAAGTCAAGACACAAGTGAGCATCTGAATCTTTGCCACTTTTAAGGTTTCAAAGTACATTTGCACTGAACTTAGACTACAAGGCTTCTTGGATTTGAGACACCTATCAGAGTGAATTTGCCCCGTGACAAATGCCTTGGATCTGTTGTACTTTAGTGTAAAAGAGAGTTTCTGGCTTCTGCTCAGCTTGGAATTGACTACAGAAACCTGAAGAAAAAAAGCAACATTTGCTTACTTGCTGAAAAGTTATCATTCTCCTCCCTGTGAATCCTTGTGAAAGCTGAGTTTGCCTTTGTTTGCCTCTATGAAAGGATTTTGAGTATTCTGAGATCTTACAAATCATGGAAATTTTTAGATGCAGCCATGTAAATGATCCAGTGGAAAGAGCTTGAACTGTTGGTTGCTAGTGGTGCTGGTCTTTTGTTGGATTGTTTGGGGTTTTTTTTTTAATATGCATGGATGCAATCATTAAGTTGTGTTTTAAAGAACAGGCACATGTAAAGTCTGTACTAGTGGACTTGAACAGAACTGTTTAACTCCAACACTTACTGGTTTGTTGCAACTGCAAAGAAAGAATAAACAGCAGGTGCCTCAAAATTCAGAAGAACAATGTCTTTGATTGTAGGAAGTATTCAACAACTGATATTACTGATAACTGAGTGCAACATTCAAATTCTAATTTTTTTTTTTTTAAGAGGGCCAGTGTATCAGGTTAGACAAACTAAGTGCCAGGATGAGGCAAAACCTTTAAATGATGATGAGATAGCTGATTGCCAGTACTTCTATAGAGGTGCATTGATCTTATCTGATGTTACATTATATATACTGGTAACTGCCTTAGTCATGAAGAAAATGCCTATGGTTGCAAACTTGAAAACCACAAATATTCCTCTAGGCATTGGTCAAGGAGACTGTCCTTTGGAAGATAAGAGTCCTTTCAAAGGCAAGGCAGTAGTCACTACACTCAAAAGTTGTCAGGCGTCTTTCTTTTCTTTTTTTAAACTATATATTTAACCTAAAGAAAAGAGCAATGATGTCTTAATTTTCATAAAGGCATTTCAGGTTGGTTTTGCAGTTTGTCAAAGATGATGTCAGAGCTTCCCAAGGAAAAGCAAATTAATCTGCCAGCCTTTAGCCTATCTTCTGCTGTGCTATAATAGGAGCTTCCACCAGACAGTACAAGAATGTCCTCTCTTCGCTTCTTCAGTCTGGTGTTTTTTTTCTCATTCCCCACTCTGCCTTTTTGTTTGTTTGGGAAGTTTTGGAATCTGTTTGAGAAGACGATTGGCCAGTTATTCAGTGTGGGGTTGTGGGGTTTTTTGTTTGTTTGTTTTTTCATTTTCCATGACATTTTGAAGGGTATATGTGCATTTCTGCAGCATTCTGGAACTAAAGTATTAAAAGTTTCCTTGGCAGTCTGTCAACCTCTTTCTATCAGTCCAAGCAGTAAATCATGATTTCTCAAGTTAATACCTCCTTTATTTTATTTTATTTTTTTAAATCATTCACCTTTTGTTTGGTAGCATAGTTAAGTATTCAGTATTGCAGCCACCAAGCCATTCAATGGCCTTTTTATCTATAATTTCATCTTGAATAGTTGGGTCATCACAAAGTGGCAGATAAGGAGATAGACTTTTGGCTTACTAAAATTTTTCTCCAGAACTTTTTTGAGGTACATCTTCATTTTTGAGTACTTCAGAAGTACTTGGATTAGGACTCTCTTTCCTAAAGCAGATGGCTATTTTTGACTATTTCTCATTAAAAACCTTTTGATACTCCAAAAGAAAACAGATTGCATGGTATGGAGTAGACTTTTTTTTTTCCCCCTAAGTAGTTTTGAGGAAATACTTAAATTCATTTAGGTGTTTAGAATAACATCCCTGCAACCTGAGCAGCCAGTTTTTAAGTCTGTGGCTCTGCATGGACTGATCTAACTCTTTCACAGCATCCACTGAAAATAGAATTGGAGTGAACCTTCAGTATTTAAAAAAAATATTAACTAACATAAAGCAAATAAAATATTTTAAAATTTTTACAGGGAATAACTAAATGCTTTCATTTTTAGACTTTTTTTTTTTACCTTGGAATACCATTGTGTGGGGTTTTTTTGTCTTAAACCAATTATGGTACTTCAGATGCTCTTTAAAATGGGACTGACAAGTAAGTAGGTCATGGAGTGTTGTCAGTTTCTTTCAAACTCCTGACATTTTAACTCTGGTGACTTGTGTGATTTCAATACCAGTAAATACCACAAAAAGGTAAGTGGGAAACACAAAACAATAGAGAGCACCTACACACAATTTGCTGGTTTAAGTTCTTATTGTAAGTACACAAGTTAAAAGTATTACAGCTGCTCTGAACATAAACTCTTCCACTGAGGACCATCTGCTTTACTGATGGAGCTTGGTATCTCAGCAATTCAAGTAAGGCATTCGCTTCTATTCGTCACTACTGTGGTGTTCTATGAGAATTTTTTGCATTAGTTATCTGAAACTGTAATTCAGAATATAGCTTCAAAAATAACACTTGATAAAAATGAATTCTTGCTGCTTCTTAGATTGCTGCACTCCTTGGGGAAGATCAGATTACTTGATGTTGGTAGCTGCTTTAATCCATTTCTGAAGTTTGAAGAATTTCTAACAGTTGGCATAGATATTGTTCCAGCTGTTGAGGTATGTAATGTTTGCTGAATTTAATATAAATTTGATTCTCAGATACTTTAGAATGCTTCAAAATGACTGTTTAAAAAAGTATGTTTAATACTTAAGTATGTACCCTAAATATCTGTGCTTTAAAAGGAACTGGGGCCATCCTGCTGCATCTTTTCCCATGAACAGGCTCTAAACTGTAGTTGTGTTTTGTTTTAATTTTTTCTTCAAGAGTTATGCCTTTATAATATCTTTATGAATCTTAACATTGCAAAATTTTGTTAGCCATCTTTTAATGGCATTTCAGATGAGTTCTTGCATCCTAAAAGGCATAAATAAAAATTGAGTAGGCTTATGCCCAGGTATGAACCTCTCAGAAGCTGCATTTGCTGACAGAAGGAAATGATCAGTGACCGTACTTGCTGAGTTTTTCTGTGGAGTTTTAGTAATCAGAAGTGCACTGTAAAGGGGCTTTTCAGTTTATTGCTACAAATATTATTCAACTTTTGCAATCCTGAGGACAAATTTGTGGACTTTTGGCATAAATTGCTTCATTTTCTCTAGGTAGTAAGATTCTCAAATGCATTGATTCTCATGTACTCATACGTTCTTTCTGTCATTTGCTCTTGATCCAACTTTTGTCAGTTGTAATAGCATTTATGAACCACGCAAAATGACAAAGTGAAATGAAAATCAAAAGATACAGAAAGGAATGCATTTCTAACAGAAAACAGAAAAACCTTAGACCTTACACATCTTGACCCCTTACAGTTTAAAATCAAGCTCTATTAAAATCAGTGGCCTAAAGTAACCCTTTCTAGAAGTGGAGAGGCGAGAAGTGTATGAGTACAATAATGCAGCTAACTTTAAAGTAATGTTATCTCATTTGCTGCAGTGTGGTTTACATGCTAAATGCATGGTATTTTGTTGTGGTCACCTCACAAAGTTTAGTCCACTAACACCTAATTTATATTTTTTGTGTATATGCTTAGAGAAAATGAAATATTTTCTTGAAAAAAAATTGGAGCCTGGTAAATTGCTTTTTAAAGCAATTCAATGTTAGTTTCATCTAAAACACAAAGAAACTTTGAATGGACTCCATCTTACCTAACTTGAAGAATAGACATCAGTTGCCTGAACATGATTGCCTGCCACCACTCGAGGAGGCTGTAGGACATCTGCAAAGGGCTGCTGGACACGACACAAGATGTAAGGGAGACAAGTGGCACTGAAGTCACAACCTATGGCACTTAAAATGGCAATACCTGGCGAGTAAATTTCCAGCTAAGATACAGTATCATGGGTGTCTACATCTGAGATGCTATGTTCCAATTATAGTCAGTGGAGATCTATCAAAAATAGTCAGTGAAACTTAAAGGTCTGCTGTTTCACAGAGAGGTGAACTGTGTTTTGACCTTGTGGGCCATACGGACTAGCTCTCCAGTGACTACAATTGGTGCTTAGGCACCTGAAGTTACATGAGCTGGATCTAACCATTAATGTTTGAGTATGCATACTTATTATTTTGCTATCTAGTCTATCGTGCTGTTTTCATAAGAAAATTAATTTTGTTCTCATGCAAATCAATTTAAATGTACAGTGACCAAAACCATTACTGGAAGAGTTCCAAAAAGGTTTCTTCTGTAGATGTAATGGAGGAATATGAGTAATCCAGGTCAGACAACAGAAGAGGGAGTAGTCAGGTAGCTGCAATTTCTGTGTACTAACCAGTTCTTCAGGCTCTCTCCCAGTTCAAGGGAGTGATCAGATAATTGATTCTTGTCATCTGACAAGTACCGTAGCTTGATGATAGGAACTCCCCAGAGTGCTACTGTACAGACCAACGTAGTTACTGTGAGGCCTGTCTTGGGCTCACCAGCTTCTCTTACTTCCATTCTCTTGGATTCTTTGGCACCTTGAAACCTAGCTCACAAGCATTCTTGGTGTGACATGGAGTACAGTTTGTTCACTCAAATGTATCTGCTGGAATAAGCTTAGGTCCACCTCCAAGCCAGAATTAATAAGCCCTGATGTATTCAAGATGACTCTACTTTGAGCTGCATCAGCACCATAACCTCCTCAATAAATTCATCTTTAGCCCAGCAGTTGCCTGGGCTGATTTAAGATTTCAGAATAACAGCCAGAGTTCTTATGGTAGCTAATGTCATCTTCTGACCTGAAAATGGATCTGATAACTTAGTGGTAGAAGCTGAAAATTGCTGTTCAAAAACTGATAAAATCTTTTGATCTTTTAGGTAAGATACCAAAATAATTTTTGAAATTGAAGCATAGAGGCTCCTTAGGAAGTCAGTTTCTTCAATAATGTTAAATAGAGGGTTAAATAATTCCTTCTTTAATAAAAATAAGAGTAATCCACTTTCTGCATATAGAAATGCTTTGGATATAGACTAAGTATTTGAGTAAAATACTTAAGCTAATTTGAGGAATAAGGATGTGCTTGTGAAAAACTAGGAGAGGAACTGAAATGTTAGCTATATAATAAAAGAATGTTTTCAAACTGTTTTGAATGTTTCATATAGAGAGAATGTAAACTGTAGAGATATTAATATGGAAAGATATTTCCATTAAAAACTTTGGTGTTTTGAGGCCAGGGGAGGGGAACTGCACCACGAAAAGACTAATATTGTCTTTAGCTAGGCATCGTTCCCTCACTTTTAGTGTGTTGCTGTAAGGTACACTGAGGGAAACACCAGTATTAGAAACTGGGAGGAGGGAAACTGAGGCTGGGGTAAGCAGAACAGATTTCTTCCTGACCCAGTGTTTTTGTTGACCATTCCTTCAAACATTCTGCTTATAACACAGGTGTTCCAGACTGCAATTAACAATGGATATTTTCTTAGAGGAGTTTAATTTGTCTACATAACAAAAACAAAACAAAACGGCAAAATTTGAACAAAGGGGGAATCTCCACTTTGGGAAAATCCAAATACAATTACATACTGCTGGGAAACGTGCTGAATATGCAGCGGATGTTGTACTGGAGTAAATACAGTCTGAAAGAAAAAAAAAAAGAGGCTGGAAGGATACTGGAATTAAAAATTAGAATATACAAGTAGGCTTGTATTCTTAAATGTTAGTGGATGCGCTGAAATATGACTGTTTGCTGTTTCAGTGTCTAGAAGGACTTCAACATCAATTCAAGATTTGTTTATCTAAAGTTTAGTAGCAGTCTCCATTTTAGCAGCATTTTTGCCCTAAAACTGCCTGCAGAGTTCAGATTCCACTTGAAACATACTTTAGTCCTGAAATTGTCTTTAACATTATTTCTACATAACTGTTTTATGAGTATTTTTCCACTACTGAGAAATATGTGCAGTCTGAATTGTTTTTTCAACTGTGTATGTATAACCTCTAACTTTTTAAGTCTTGCTTCTAAGTTAGCATATTACTCTGAACAATTACTCTTCAGAGCACTTCTTTCTTTTAAACCTTATTAGAGGGTATCATGAAATTACTGCTATTAATTTCCTGTTCTAAATGTTAAAAGGAAGCAGAATATAGTCCTGCAGGTAAAATGGTTCCAACTGAAATTTCTTTATTATAGCTACATAATGCAAGTCTCTTTCTTGATTTTTTGCATATTGGAGGCCCAGATTAAAGGTGCAGAAAAATAAATCACAGACTTTTTTGAGCATTGATTGATTTTTCTAATTTACTGCATACTCTCAGAAGATAATGTGATTTTATTTAAACAGAAATAATATTTTCTGCTTGGAAAAAATTGTGTATATCAGTTGCTTTATGAATGTGTTTACAAAAGCATTCTAGTGAGCTCTTTTTTGAATATTGTTTTATAAAACAGGCTATAAATATTTTTGTGATATAAAAATGTAACAGATCTAACTCCACCTTTCAGACCTGCTCCACAGAATGTTTTCAGTCTGCTTTCGTGTTTACCTGTTTAGAGTGTCTGTTGTTCACTGCACATTCTTTAGGCATTAATAACAATTTTTGTTGCTATCATGTCAAAACCTTGTATCTTAATACTTTTTTATTAAAGAAGTCACTCCCAGGTTTTGGTTAATATAAAGTGTCAAAACTTAAATGTTGTGAATAGCATACTATTACTCATTTTTTTGAACGCTCCGTGATTAAGGATGTTAAGAACTTATTCTTCTCTATGTTGTATTGTGGTGTCATTTCCCATCTTTGACAACTTGAGTGCACAAATTATCAACAGATGAATTTATAGCCCTTACCTTACTTTGATAACTGTCCGAATGTGTACCACTACACTTTGCATTTACAGTTTTACATGGACCTGCATCTCCGCTGCAAAGCAGTTAGTGTTCTGTAACTTTCCAATGTATGTTGCCTTGCCGTAGCTTCTTTTTCTGTACTACTAAAGAATGACACTTTTTTCCAAGTGACCAAACTGATAAGTTTCTTGGATTCTTTTCAAAGAACTGGTGAAAATACTGAGGTATAAAATTTATTTCCTAATTACTGATTTCAGGTTTATAAAAACTTATAAAAGGCCTCCAGCATCTGGAGAAACAAAAGCAATACGGGCTTATCAGAGTTCTTCTTAAGTAATTTGTGAGATAGTTGTAATGATACTTTGTTCTATTTGGGCTAAAATTCTTTTTTTTTTTTTTTTTTTTTTTTTTTTTTTTTTTTAATTAACAGTTCTCAGCTATCAAATCTCTAGTACATTACTGCACATCTAAAATTTTACTTTGCAATTCTGAAAGCTAGCAATATGCATTAAATTTTTATTTTAGATAGTTTGATTTAATAGGAAGGGGAATGTTCAGGAGGCTTGATGTTTCCTTGAGGGAATGGAGAGGTTATAATTTATTATCTATAGGTTTGGATTGTATTTGCTCTTTAAACTAACCCTGATGTTTGTGTGGTTTTCTGTTTTTCTTATTCCACCAGAGCGTATATAAATGTGACTTCTTAAATCTTCAAATTCAGCAACCCCTCCAGCTGGCGCAAGATGCTATAGATGCCTTTCTTAAGCAACTGAAAAATCCCATTGATTCTCTCCCTGGAGAACTGTTCCATGTTGTCGTTTTTTCACTCCTCCTTTCTTACTTTCCATCACCCTATCAACGATGGATATGCTGCAAGAAGGCACATGAACTTCTCGTATTAAACGGCTTATTGCTTGTTATAACTCCTGATTCATCTCATCAGAATCGCCGGGCTATGATGATGAAAAGCTGGAAAATTGCCATAGAGTCCTTGGGTTTTAAACGCTTCAAGTATTCCAAGTTTTCTCACATGCACCTGATGGCATTTAGAAAAACTTCCCTGCAAACAACAAGTGACTTAGTTAGCAGGAACTACCCAGGAATGTTGTATATCCCACAGGATTTCAACAGTGTAGAGGATGAGGAGTATTCCAACACTTCCTGCTATGTTCGATCAGATACAGAAGATGAACAGCTAGCTTACGGTTTTATGGAGCTGCCCGATGCTCCGTATGACTCAGACTCTGGAGAAAGCCAGTCTAGTTCAATTCCTTTCTATGAGCTAGAAGATCCTATATTGCTTCTAAGTTAATGTAGTTGTTGAAATGCCTTTTCAGTCAAAGCTCTTGCTTAACTAATTTTGCTATACTAACATGGGCTCAACACACAAATGATTTGCATTAAAAAAAATGCAAAGGTTTACAGAGTTTGCTATTTTTTTCTACTTTTGAATTTTAAAATTTATTCTTGTATGAAAGTGGAAAAAATACAAGTTTTATGCAAATGACTCCTGTCATAGCATAAATTACTGTTACTTTCTTTGGATTTGTATTACTAATTTTTTTCCAGAAAGGTACCATTCTTTTCTTTAGTGCTGTGAAGTGTGAATTCTATTTAATTTGCTAAGTGTTGTTTCACTATTTTAACTCAATGTGGTTGAGCTTAAGGCACTGGAGTTGGTGGGCTTCTGAGAAGTATATGTAGGAAGAAATAATTTGCACTTTAATTATATGTGCAGATAGGTTAAGACACTTGGTTACACATGTCCCTTCTTAATTATAGAACAAAACTTTTTTTCCAAAATTTGTTTCACTCTAGTTAAGCCTGGGCTGGAGAAACCATAATGCTTGCACATTTGATTTTATGTTTATTGCAGCCCTCGTGAGATAACACCCAAACACTGGAATTTATTCATCCATGGTCATACATACTGTGTAATTTCATTGCATAAATAGTAGTTAGACATGAGATTTCTGAAGAGGTTATCACCCCCCTACAGGAGCATGGTATGTCTAGACAATTATGTTTCACTTCAAAGCTGGAAAACCGTTTTGCAATTTTATGAGTGTACAAGCACTAACTATCAGTATTTCCCCAATTATGGTCTTCTGTATTTTCTTCAAACTGTTTTTTGGGGGACAGGGTGGGTTTTGTCATGTTTTAAAGTAAATTATTTATGCATTTTAAAAACCAATAACTTTTTCTTTAATTGTCCTTATTTGTAGATGTCCCAAGTTATACAGTAACTATAGACTGATTTTGTAAAAAGGAACATAACTATAGAAGTTTTCCAAGCGTATTTGCAGAAAGCTGCATTCAGACCACGCGTGAAGTTAACATACACTATTTGTTTACTTATTTGAACCCCAAAATATTCTGTTTAGTTAAATTAAAACTCCATAACTGTCTGAAAACTGGTCTGCACTGTAAGGAGATGGAACAGAAGTGTTTTACATATATTAAGTTTTTTAATTTGTGTAATATATTTTTGAGTTTTTGCAGGAGAAACCAATTCTGTTCAGTGGTACAAAATAAAGAGTTTGCTATTAGATTAGCTTAGATTTTCCTCAGTTTAAAAATAATGGCCAGAATTTTCAGATTTGAATGTTAGGCTGTTAAATCTATATGTAAGTGCCTACTAATAAATGATTTGAACTAGGTGCCACGTCACTGTTTTAAGACTGACTTCAGCAAAGTGGTGGAAAATACTAACATATAGTTTTACAGGTGGTTGTGATGAAATATGCCTTACACCATATTAACCTACCACATTGTATTTATAATACTGGATTTACCAGATAAACTGAAGTTGTAGTGTGGCTTTTACAGTGTGGCTAAAAAATTGAAACTTACTCCTTCCAATGAAGTTTTGCACGGAAAGTGTCACAGTCTGACCTACACCTGGTTCTTTTACACTGTTTTCTATGAAGAGTCATCCCGCATTGGCTCTGCTTACACTCAAACACAAACTGGACTGCAATGCTTTATTCTTTAACATAAGCTTTTCGTGTCTCTCCTTAAATTTAAAGTATCCCCTAAAACTCAATTCATATTTGTTCAATCTGAATTATATAGTTATATACAAACAAAAAAATTATATTCTGATATGTTTAAAAAAAAGTTGACTTCTTAATTTTTTTTACAGAAAATACTTGTCTAATGAAATACACAATGGCTCCAAAACCAGCTATAAGTCAGTATTTGCATCTAATGCTTTACCACTTCACTTTCACTAAAATGTTTGTCAGTCAAAGCCTTTCTTCTTCCCAGTTAACCACTGACTTCAGCAGTGTTCATGTTAAAGCTAAAATAGTGGTGCTAAAAATTCAGCTGTTTATGGAAACTTAATCTGTGCATACTTCGAAGTATATCTAACACTTTAACTGATACCCCTTTTTAAAAAAAAGTTATATACCAGCTAACATATCTGTTGGTATCGGTTAATGTAAATTGGTTTGATTCATACAAACAAGCAATTCACACCAAGATTTATCCCCCCAAAATCTTTTAAAATATTAACATTCAAAATTAAGCCTGCTAGCCAGCTTGGTGACACCATTGTATTTGTGGTTTAGGGACCTGAGATTCATAACAGCTTGGTTTTCTTGCTGCTCATTCTAAATACCTGAAGTGTTTATTGTTTTATTTTGTTTGTTTGTTTGTTTGGGTGGGGTTTTTTAGGTTGGTTTTTTTGTTTGTTTCTGCGTTTGTTTGGGGGATTTTTGGCTTCTTCTTTTTTTTTTTTTTTTTTTTTTTTTTTTTTTTAACAAGGGACAGTAGATTGTGGTAGAGGAGGAAAGTGGGATTTACATAAATAAGTATACCTCCCTGAACAATAAAGTGGTGATATCGGGAGCCGTTGGATATTTGGCTTTGGTGCGAGAATAATGTTTCTAGGGTATGAAATATCTGAAAGTTATGACTGTGCAAGAGACCTCTCGTTCTTAAGGTGCTGGAGAGGAAAAAGAAAAACAAATGTGTATTTGCATTTCTGTTGTCTTTATGTCACTACTTTTTGTGAACAAAGCACATTTATTAAAAAAAAAATTGAAAACCTTTTAAAAATTGTTTCTTTGGAGTGGAGATGTCTTTTCTTTCCTGTGCAAATGATTTATGCTGAAATCCAGTGAAACCTATGCATAATTGTTTTCCTTATTGTCAAGGAAATAGTTGTGTTTGGTCTATTTTAGAAACAACTAAATTATAGTAAAGATGTTAAATTTGGTACTTCAATTTCAGCTTCTACATCTCAGTTGTGGTCTTTGCTTTACAGAAGAGTTTTGGAGTTCCTCCAGTTGTTTCTCTATCATGTTTCTTTACCTGCCTGTTTAGGATGTGACCACTTTCTAATGCAGTTCCTTGTTTCTCTCTCTAGATGTTCTTAATTTCTCCTCCAATCTTCCTGAAATGTCTTTGCAGCACCCATTGTATGTTAGCCCTTTGAGGTCATTGCTGTATTTTTCTACAAGGTGATTTTGAGTACTGGAGGTGTTGGGAAAGGATGGCAATGGAAAAAGAAACCCAAAGAACTGAAAATGCAGGGCTCCTACTCAGATCCAGATTCTAAGAAAACTAGATTTCAGCAGAACAGAAAGTGTGTCCCTAGCACTGCAGCACCTAGCTGGTATATTCTGGTCTCTTATTTGACACTGAAGATCAGAAAATGTGATTTCACAGCTGTTCTCAGCATTGCTTCCTGCAGAATCTTTCTGTCCTTTTCTGCTTCAGGGAGACTTGCTCTTTAATTGTATCTCCATGAATCAGCAGCATATCTTTGATTCCTTGCAGTTGGGAGATGTATATATTCAGATTTTCTGCTCCTTTTTCTCATTTCCTCAATTCATTGTTTC